TTTTACTTGAGTTACTTATTCTTTTTAATTAAATATAAAAACCAAATATTTGTTTATTGATTTTAGAGTTTTTTAATTTAATTATTCATGGTAAACCAATGTTCATTATAAGGCCGTTTCTCCACTGCTCCGGTCCGGCAAACGTTAATTACCGATCCGATTTAGAAACTCACAACAGTACATACGTACTTCTCCACTACTCCGGCATCCGGTTTTTAACTATCCGATAACTTGCTAGATCGGAACGCGGTGTTTTATCGGTCCAAGTATCCAAGAGGTTATAAATTATTATTCACAGGTTTATTTATAGTTTCTTTAATTTGAAAGAATTAGAAAAAGAAGTAGATTATAATATTTTAAGATAGACAATTTAAAAAAAAAAGGGTCCGTGTTCTTATGTACGCGCGTAAGAAGTTATACTTCTTTGGCAATATTAAAAATAGTTTGGCTTTGTTCCACCTCCAGTTTTTGATGTTTCACAGCGATAAGATGAAAACTCTTTTTTGTATTCAATTTAGTGCAGTTACACTGATTCATCAATTGTTTTTTGTCTCTTTTCCTTATATTTGCTAGATAAAATCAGAAAATAATTTTGATTAAAAATGTGGTTAATTTTTAATCAAAACATTACTCGATAATAATAATAATACATACGGATAGTTAACCTCAATTGTATTGAAGTACTTAGGAAGGTTGATGAGCACAGTTTTTTCACAAATATTAATTAGTATTGGTTTAAATATTCAATTTAAATCACTTCTGATTATAATTCAAAAAGCATCGCTAAATTTCTTTGAAAAAATAATTAAAACTCCTTTATTTGTTTAAAAGGTAAATGACAAATGTCATTATGGTCATTCAAAATTGTTGGCATACGAACTTCACGCATATTCTATTTCTTTTTACTTGTAGATTGTCTTATTCCTATCTCGGTCGCGCACGTTATAATCACACTCCTAATTTTGTGTCACGGGTGCGCGCGCATTGTAAAATTTCACTCTCATAAATTTTTCATAACGCGCCTAAAGAAGTATAACTTCAAAAAGTAATAAACTTGTCAGGGCAATAAAATATTCAGAATTTAGAACGTTTTATTAATAAAATAAAGTATATGGGATTTAGTTACATTAGCATGATAAATATACAAGTATCGATTATTGTCGGATCGGATATAGTGGAGAAGCGCAATCCGGCCTTCCGATATTTTTCTAATGACTAATTCCGGTATCCGACGTCGGACCGGAGCAGTGGAGAAAGGGCCTAAGAATCGAAATTGAAGATATTAACGTTCAGATTTTGCTAATAGTGCTCTATTCTATTAGATTGTATCAAAATGGAATTGTATTTGCATGTAATTGCAATTATTACTTTCACAATCGCTAGCCACAATACCGCTTATCAGACCATAGATGTGAAATTGAAAAATGTTTTCAATGACTATTACTCGCATACGTCAGAATACAAAATCTTATGACAAATTTTTTTATTGAATACTCGCGCTTATTAGACACATTTCTGGGTTTGTTTTGATAAATATTATTCTTTAAAGCTAATCAGCGTTCATCTAGTTTTAAGTGCCTGTCGGTTTCTCCACGATATTTGTCAGAGTACGAGGCAATGACAATTGTACATAAAGAAAAATTGGTGTCACAACTGAGATTCGAATACACGACCTCATCTTTCGCACGATTAACTAGGCTAGTCTCATGAGCAGTAGCTCATAAAGATAATAGTTTGTTAAAAAATACTTAACTTATAAAGAAAATTAGTTGAACCGTGGCGTGCAACACAGAAACAATTTTGCGATGGGAATCGAATGTGAGTTTATTGTGAAGCCACGTGGCGTGGTAAAGGGTAACAAAATCTCCTATTGATATTCTGTTGGTGCAAAAATATTATTTTCTATATTTCCTAAAAGAAAGTAGAGTCAAGGTTTTCAATTCGCCTAGTATTAATTATTTCTCTTCCTATTTTAGATATCAAAAGCAATATCAAACTTTCGTTATGCTAGGTATGCTAAAGGCGAAGGAGTGAGGGCAGACTCGAGAGCAACGTCCTTACCGTTCGTATGCCGCGCTGCATACATAATGCGATACCTTTAACTCTCTGTTTTTATTTTTTACCAGTCTTTCTTTTAGTTCGTTAATGTATTTTATAAATTAAATACGTACATAGTTATTTGTTATAAAAAGGAACGCACAGTCACGTCAGTTAGGACGTAATGTTTCGAAATGGGAAGAACATGTAACTATTGAGAAATGTTATGTAGTAAACAATATTATCCGTGGGGTCCTAGCGCTATAAGGCTTTTTAAGGAAATATCAAAATGGTTAGTCGACGTCACATCACAGTCGACAAAGAATTAAGAAGAAGTCTAGCTATTCAAACACCGCCAGTATCTTCGGAACCTTGCCTAAAAGGGACTCCTTTTAATAATATATTTTAAGGTTAATTATTGGTTATTGTTTTATTAATTTAGGCTTTAGGTTTACGTAATATATTATTTTATCACTTCATCACATTATTAATGTATATTATTACGTTTCAAATGATATTACTTATGCTGTATTACACTTAAATAATTTATTTATGTTTAGTCCTAACGCTGTACCATATTATCTTATATCTAACAATCTTGCGCTCTACAAAATGTACCTACCTCGGGCTAAGCTATTTAGTATTTACAAAAAACAGCTGTGCTCAGAGTCGTCCGTTAAATTATATACATATCTATCTACGATGCAAGTCAGCAACGAAATTTAATGCGATAAGGAAATAGTTAATAGCAGCAATCACTGACCTTTTCAGTATATGTTTGGATCTACGGTAAACTTAAAAAATACTGACTAAATTAATTAACCGTTAGATTTCAGCAATGCACTCAGGGAGTATCCCTACCCCAGAAAAAAATATTGTCTATGGACTACAGAGAATTGCAATATATTTTTTCCGATAAATGCGTCATAGTTAGTGATTCATATGGTGAACAGTATTCACATAAATTATCTGATGTTTAAGGTATAAGGATGTACACTTTATCCTTTGTAACGGTTAATAAGCCGTAACTAGATAGAGCTGATTTTTTTTCAATTGATTTGAAGATTTGTAATTATTGGACAAAAAATACCGATGGATAGTAGCTTTGTTTTTGATCCGTTTAATTCTTTTTTGTCACATTTAAATTAATTACTCTTGAATACAAAAACGGGTTGTAGATACTGTTTAGGTATTTGTGTACCTTGTGGTTTTTATTTGATATTAATTGAATGACCAAGAAAGCCCCGATGAAAATATTTTTGTGTAAATCTTCTTCGTAAACGTATAAGCGTACGCAAGCAGTTGAAGTTTATAAAATAAGAGTTTGGAAAATGTACAGTTAAATGGGAAAAAATCTCATTGCTTTTCCTAATGCATATTAATATTAAGAGTTACGTGTGTAAAATGTAAATAGAAATTTTACCAACCTCTTAATATGTACTATGTTTATAATAACATCGTTCTGTAACATATTTGAATATTAACAAACATTTAAATCATTTCAACCTACGAGGTACTTCAATGAGGCAACCTTTTCTTAGTCCGAGCTTTAAATACGAATTTTTGTACCTGGGCACTGTAACTTTTCTTATACTTCGGGACTTTAAAAATTCAAATACCGAATTATCTTTTATTTCTAATACAATTAAAGCTTACCTTTTATGAAGAAATGCACCGCCGATGGCCGATGATTACATAGGAATTTCTCTGTTTTATCTAAAATACCAAGTGGGCACAAAGCAAAATTCCAAAATCAGGTTCGTTGGAGCGCCTCAATACACAACTAAATTAAAACTTCAAAACACTTTACAAACAAACGGAAACAACTCTGATTCTATAATAAGTTAGTTCTTAAAATATGATAAATCTCTGATACATAAATTGGAAATAATGTACGTTCGTTCGATCGTTCTATTCGTTAAACCGGTTTGTCAGGCTATCGGCCGCCGCAATCGCCTACCCCATATTCAAAGAATACGGCCGTTCGTATTCAATTCGACTATTCGACTTTAAACTTAAACTGCACTTAGAAGTTTTGACTTTCAACATAATGTTACCACCTCTAAAAATATTTATTTAATTCAGTAAAAAGAGACATCTGGCACATACAAACTAAAGACAAAGAAAATTATTGTACAGTTCTACCGGAATCTCATGGCAAATAGGGAAATAAAAATTTGTTGAGGGCAATACTATAATTTGATTAAATGATCTTGATACTGTCCAATTTTTATTTGTCTTTAGTATTAATGAACATTCAACTAGAACTCTACCGGAATCTCATGGCAAATAGGGGAATAAACAAATGTTGTGGGCAATACTGGGGAAGTTGGATTAAATAATCTTGATACTATTTAATTTAGTATTAATGAAAATGAAGTATATTAGTTATTGGTATAAAAAATGCTATTATTCATGGGGTTCCTAAGACAGGAAAATATACCATGAAAAATAAATCAATCGTAAATTACTTTATGAACTAATTTATTATACATAATTTCAAAGATACAAATAACTTATAACCTCGTTATTATATCTTGCTTGATGAAATGGTTTTCAATTTCTTTAAATGTTCACAACATTTTCGCCGATTCTCTGCACCAATTTGTGAGAAAGCTTCTTCTGTTAATAATTTTACGTCACTTGTCTCTTGTAGGTCTATTTACATTTTTATCAGCAACTGTTTGCTTCTTTATTCCTTTAATCGTTTCAATGGGTTTCTATGGGATTCAATGTGCAATTATAAGGTTGGAGTTGTAAAACTTCATGCCGTGTAATTTTATTACTTCATCTATCTCATATAAGACCGCAGACCTGTTTTTTTCACTACTTAAGGTAGTTGACATTTACGGCAATATTCATCTTAGTGTAAATCATTTGCACGGAGCCATTCTTTTATATTTTCAGTGATACGATTGGCTTGTGTAGGTGGTTTGTTCATACGTATGGTATGATAACTAGCATTATTTTGGTCTTGATAGATTTGGAATTAGCTTCACTGTCACCCATTTTGTAAAATTGTCTTTATTCATATTGTGGTAGTAGTCAGCAGATATACTTGTAGACCTGTACACCAGACAACAATTTGGTACAAAGCCATTTTCTCCACCAGCGTTTAGAATGATCCAAGTGAACATGTACCGTGAATGTAAGTCTCGTCTAAAATAAATCACATCCAATTTATTATGCTCTTCAGCTTCGCGGTTTTCCTCTATACCTATTGATTGGTATTTAACATATTCAAAACGGTTCTTTTTGATTGGTATTTAACATATTCAAAACCAATTTCCTTAAGTATAAATGTGTAAAAAATAATCATATTTAACATGTTGCTCAAACGATAGCTTATTCATTCATCACCATCAGTCTATATATCTGCAGGGCACAGGCCTCCTCTAACGAGTTCAAATGAGAGGGATTATTGCTTAATATTTTTCTAACCTCAGAGATTCTCTTCTTCCGTTGAAATCAATATCTTGTCGAATAATTTGTAACAGTTTCATTACTGTTTAAATTTCCTTCCATACTGTATAGTTTAGAAGGAAGTTTCTTTACTTTATTCCTAATGAACTGTATATCGAAACTGTCTAAGTTGATTTTCTTCTTCCCCCTCACCTCTTTTTTACCAGGTGTGGAAAACATTCCATCATTCGATATGCCCTCCTCAGCTACAATTCCCCATATAGTTGTACTGAAAACCCCTTTAAAGAAGTCTCAATTAAGTACTGAAGAAAAATATAAAATAAGTAAAAAAACTAAAAGTATCAAAATCCCTCCAACTTACCGGTCAACTCTACCACGAGCTTTAAAATCAAAGATTGAGTTTTATTTATCACCTTCTTCTTCCTTTATTTCTTGATAAAAATTGAAAACAATATTTCTCGCTTACCGTTTACGTTGAGGTTATGCTATAGATGTACTACTAAAATAATAACTTGTGTTTACTATAATAATATCTTGTTTATAGTTGATTTTAAATAGGTAATGTAAAACCATATAAAATATTAGAGAATCTGTTTAATCTGGTAGTCTAAACGTCTATTTTCGATCAATTTAATTAATAATTGTTATACATACACACAACATCTCAAGTAAATTTCAGATATTCATACTTTGTTCAACGTGATTCATTGTCCGAGTCTTAAGTTGGAAAATATGAGGACTGAATAGAGCAACTCTACTTCAATGTCAATTTCGCAAACGTCAAAAATCAACCAACTTCTCATTGACATATTTTGACAGTTTTCCAACGATACCACTGAGAAACTGTCCATAAGCCTCCATAGATGGCGGTGACAATGAAAAACATAATATCAACTAGATGGCTTGAGCAAATTAAAGACATTTTTAGGCAGCCGTTAGTGCAGATACATTCGACTCTCGATAATTTGAAACTCACAGGATTAGAGATAAATTTCTAATTCCCAAGAGTTCAAAATAACAATCGTTTAAAAACTACGAGGTGCAGGGAGGAGCATGAGGCCAGGGGCTCATAAAAAAAAATTGATAAAAATTCGTGATTTATTATTTCTTTATTAATATTATGTATTAACAATTAAATACAATAATAAAGTTATTCACAAATATTTAATTCGAAAAGAAGTCCGTATTCTTTTTTTGAGCGAGCGAATTCAGTCTATCATTGACCAAAGAATTAAATAAAAACATTGACAGGTTTGTATACGATAAAAACTATTTCAAATTACAGAGGGGAATTAGCATTGATTTTATTCAATTTATCAAGTATTTTTCAGAAGATCGGAAAAAAATGTACATTTTTGAGAGATTTAAATTAATGTGTCAAATTATAGAGAGTCGAGTGTCGACTGTACTATAAAATTATGAAGCATTTAATTTGTAGTTGAATATTTCCTTGTTTTCATATAAGGATTTAGTAAAATAAAGCAACACAACAACAAAAACAATAACAAATAGAAATAATAAAACAACTATATTTTTATAGATTCATTTTATTTTTAATAACATAAAAATGTTATGTTTTTTATTTTACATATTTAAAAATGATTTCAGTAGGGGTACCAGGTTTCTAGTATTCACAACGATTTCGGGATTTTCTACATTACAATTTGGCTTTCGATATAGGTCATGGGTTGCATAATTATTTAGAATATCTGTTTCACTTATTTCCAAATGCTGTAATTTACAATTTGTCAAATCTACAAACTCCACAGCTGTTCATTATAATATTCAACAAAATATATTGTAATAATTTACTCATTTGGATGGATCATGTAATATCCTCTTTGTCTTCTGTTTACTGTGATATGCTCTACATTTTTATGATATTTTCATTTTATATAAACTTTCATTTTACCCAAAAAATAGGTAAACTTGTAAAAAAATTACTATTTGGTCATAGAAAGACTCAATATAATGATCCATCCAACAGCATATTAACTACAATAAATAGAACTAGCTAACTGGAATTGAAGGTCCCTTAAAAGTATTATAAGTTTAACTCTAAAGCAGTGATCAATACCTTTGCCATACTTAACTTGGAATTTGTAGTTTTATTAAAGTTACGTGAGGAAATTGATCACCGCTTCATGTATACTAATTTATTGTTTTCATAATAGGTGACTAATCTAAAGAGGCGCCCATATTCATAGCATGTATTAAAGATGCACAAATCACCAATTTTTACAAATGTTAGAAAATCGACAGAGTTACATTTAAGAATCTTAGATATAGAGATGTTTAGAAAGTGTTAAGTATCTGTAAATGAATCTTTATCTTTTATGTGACAACTACAAAAAGGTTACCTAAGAAGTTCTGTTACAGTAATTAACATTGTAATCATTTTTACATCTTGACTATGGCGCGCTTAGGCAAACATACAACCGAACATTTGAAAATATGTGAAATAAGTAACTTTTGTCAACTTAATGCTCATCATCAAACAACAATTATTTTAGGAAATAATAGAGAATGTCACTATTTTTAACTATTACTTATTGCTTTTAGTTTACGGATCACGAAGAGATTTAATAAATTAATTTGAATTGATGAGCACAATTTGAAGAAAATTTTAACTAAATTGTATGTACCTATTTGAATTACCTATTGTTTGCGGATGACATTTCAGGGTACAGATAACAATATATTTAGATATTTTAGACAAAGAGGAGCCAATTAGGATTCAGATTTATAAATAATGGGTTGAATTTTGTAGAGTTTAAATAATGTATCTAAATGCATATGTAAGAGATAATTTAAGGAATTTAAGAAGTTTAAGTACAAATCTAATGTCATCTGTACTCTGAAGCTTAAATTACTTTCTGGTGTTCTGTACATGTAAAACCATGTGTAGATTTCATTTAATTTAGTAATACTACACTAAAACTGGCCATCATATAAGTATCTGCCATGTTCTAAATATAACTAGGTCATAATATAATATTCTTATCTAAATTGGTATTTACAAATAATACATTTAATTATTACTCTTTTAATATAGAAATTAAAATATATTTCTATCATTCTTCAATTCACATAACACAAAATAATTTAACAGTGTTTTTGCACTCACATTTACAATATAGTTTAGTAACGACAGTTACCGGTTACTGATCTCAAACAACTCATTTAGAATATATCACCCAATCGCTGAGTAATGATACTCAAGGCTCCTAGCATATCTTAATATTTAAAAATGCAGAAATGTGAAAACTTTAAGGAATATTTCATTGAAGGGGCAAGTGAACGTTATAGTTCTTTAGTTTCTATAGGAACTATAATATTCATTATGCCACTCGAGACCGCCGCGTAAACTATATGTACATATTGGCTAGCGGTCTCTTGACTAAACTGGAACCACTAGGAAAATAAAATATTTCACTATTTACATTGTAAACTATACACGTTATAATACGAATTACTTCATTGAACGAGTTTAGAATTAATTTAATTTGTTTACTCCGTTGAGAACAATGATAGCGCGCGTGACTGACGCGAGGAACATACATACACACCGCGGTACGGCCTTCGAAACCTTTACCTATATAACTATAACATTTCCCCAGCGTCGTTGTTTCAACGAGACGCTGCGTTAGACCACGCCGAATGTCACCGTGACATTAGAGATTCATGACAGCTGACAGCCGCTGTCAATATCGACGGTGACATTCGACATCGACGCTCGTGGAGGAAAAACTAAAATCTAATATCACAATGTGGAGCTCTCGAGGAGCTTAATAGGCGCCAAAGTAGGCCACTCGATTTAAAGTTCTCCGCTATGTCTGAGGGCTACTATCTAAGGCCCATATTCCAAAACGTACTTCACTTGTCGTAAACACTGTCAACATTTCATAGAAATAGATGTTCGAAACTAGATACGGATTCATCTGGAATACGAGGCCTAAGGGCCCAGGCACATTTTTGTGACTCATTCGAAGAGCGCGAGTAGATCGTCCGAAGAAGGAGCGCGAGGGGGGTGTGAGCCTGCCGAAGATGACGACGACGGCGGCGTCGCAAGTAGTTCTCCTAGCGCCGGAGCGTCTAGATACGATAGCAACTCCATGGGGTCCACACTCGTCTCTGGCAGCAACTGCAGCAGAAATAACTAATAAGTCACACTTACACAAAAATGAATTATAGAAAACTAAACTAGTCCAGCAATACAAAAATATTATGAATTCATTGTCCTGCTAACAAATCAAAAGTGTTAACAGGTAATAAGTGTGAAATCTTATTTTCCTATGGAAGGTGTATACTATATATATAGGTTTATATACTCATTTTATCCTCCTACTTTTTTATTTGACCAAAAAAACCATGGAGGCGATGACGGAAATAATTTAACTCACATTAAGGTTATCCGTCCCCTCGCCATCAATAACTGCTGCAGGATCAAAGTTCAAATCAGCAGGTATGTCGACATCATTGAGGGAATGATGCCCGACGGAAGGAGGTCCTGGAGTATGGCTGGAGCCTGGTGTGTGCGCACCACCGCCACCTGGGGTATGTGCGGACCCAGGCGTGTGTGGTGTGTGAGGTGTGTGGGGCATCTGAAGAAAGTAAAACAAAATTTTAATTTTAATATGGTGATAGAGGTATATAAGTGTGGAGTTCCTTAGCCGACAATTTAAATAAAAAAGATTTGTTTTCTAACCGATTGATTTGTAGATCTACCAACAAAACAACGAGTTATACTTTTTTTAAATTACGAAAATGTTCCGTGCCTATTGAGGTTTTCATCGCGCGAATGATGTATTATTGAAAAAATCCTTACTCAATAACACTTGTACTGGTATTATTAATACTTACTTGTTCGTTGAGACTCTTCTCCATCGCGTTTAGAGGGTCCAGGGAATTGACACTATCATTGAGGTGTGAGAGCGGGCCATTTCCGGCGTACTCATTACTTCCCGGTCCGTTGTTCATGCCAAAATCGTAATTTTGATTCGAACTTGACGCTCTATTCTGACTACTCTGATTGTACGAAGAGATCATGGAGCCACTTGCTATGGTGTTCATATCTGGAGGTAAGTATGGTGATAACGCCTGGTTCATATCCCAATTGTTCATAGTTGGCATATTCATGGAGCCAGGAGACATCGCCTTGCCTCGTTTCCCCATGCTGTCGTTGCTATCGTCTTCTTGCTGCAATTTTAAATCGTTTGTTATAATTTCTTTAGGTTTGAGAAGCTTCAAGCAAAACCTATAAATATATAGGATCGTCTCTCTAAACGATACTGACAAAAACCTATTGCGTTTTTTGTCTGACCATTTTTTTTTTACGAAATGAGAGATCAAATTAAAAAATTTCGTTAATACAAGAAGATAAAAGTTGTCTCCAAGTTTAATCATCAATTCTTGTAGGTTTTGCTTTACAACCCGTACGAATGTTTTTTATCACTTTACTTTTTTACAAAAAATACTTACCTTTATACTAGGATTAGCTGAATTCTTTGCTGCTTTCCAATTCGCTCCACTATCAATCGTGACTTCATCAACATCCGACGTATTTAAAGTATTAAGAATGCCCCACATGTACTGGTCCACTTCTAGTCCTTCTAATTGAGCTGGTTTGCTGTAAGAACACAAAGCAATTAGCTTTACATGAAATTATCTTAAATTTTAGACAACGTTATTATATGTGACTGACTCTCATCCCTGAGGTCGTAGGTTCGATCCCCGGCTGTGCACCAATGGACTTTCTTTCTATGAGCGCATTTAACATTCGCTCGAACGGTGAAGGAAACCGACATGTCTTAGACCCAAAAAATAAAGTCGACGGCGTTTGTCAAGCACAGGAGGCTGATCACCTACTTGCCTACTAGATAAAAAATTATAATCATGAAACAGATTCAGAAATCTGAGGCCCAGACCTAACGAGGTTGTAGCGCCACTGATTAAAAATTAAATGTAACTAAACGTTTTCACTAGACTTCACTATTGGGAAGAAGTTTTTTAATGATTTTATACAGCGCTTTCTTTGATTTATTTTTAAAACAAAATAATGTTTAACGAGAAACTTACTTGCAAACTGGACATCTCCACGAGCCTCTCTCGCAGTTAAGCTGTAGGTAAGATTCCAAGTCAAAACACTGTATGTGTTTACACTCGTGCCCTCGTGCAGGTAAAGTTATCTTCTTAAACGTTATCGGACACTTAAGCGATACCTTTAACGCAGTTTGTTCAATACTATCTCTATCATTTGGGGTATTAGTACCATTATTCCCACTAGAAGTTTGATTGAAGTTCATCTTAATTTTAGCAATACAATGGTCCGCTGTTAATAATCGCTTCCTTAATAATCCCTGTAGAACACTTCGTACGCTCGGCCGATGCACAAGTTGTAGGACGAATAGGTGAGACTGTAACAACGAAGTTCCCATTAGTAATTCTGACGTAAGTACTCTTTAAAATGTATATAATAATTGGATGTTATGTTAACGTTTTTTATAGTATTTCTCCATATACACAAGACATTTTTCTGCTATTATTTAACAGACACAAAAAATAAAAGTTATGTATGTATAAAATTATTTTGTTATTACGCCAGGTTCAAGACGAAAGCACAATTGAGAATAACTGTGGACACCCTCTGCCCCATCTAGAACACATAGCACAAGCCAAGTCCAGATGTATATTTAAATATTATGATACTTACACAACAACAAGCCGACACTGTGATCTGTATCGTGTTCCTCCCGGGTTGACAAACTTCTTTCAGGTACAATGGTTTATGTGAGGTTTTGTTCTCCCCTCGGTCTATCATAAGCGGTGTCGCGTTCACCGAAACTTGAACACTCGCCGGCCAATTCGTATTCATTTGTCGGTCTTCATGATGGAAACATTTTAATTGTAGTTCTAGATCCGATCTGTTGACAACATATAGCATTAATATACACATAATCATATATCACAATTTTTTTTTAAACTTTTGTTTAAGTGTTTACCTCCATATTAACGTAGAATGGACTGTCGGCTTCAGTTGAAACACGTGATTGCTAACTGCTAAATTATGTTCTAATCTAAATGGTGGTAAGATGATACCATCTCTTACAGGGAATGTTAGTCGAAGCTCGTCATCTGAAAATGAATAAAGGCAAAATTAGAAATCTGTTTAATATTTAAGGCAGGTTTTGCGCGGACCACCACTTTGTGGAACCACCCACTATAGTATTTCTAAACTAATTCCACTTAGGTTTCTTCAAGAAAAAAGTGTACCATTTCTTAAAAGGCCGGCAACACACTCGCGAGCCTTCTGGCTTAGAGAGTGTCAATGGGCGGCGGTATCACTTAACATCGGGTGAGCCTGTTCTATAAAAAAAAAACATATATTCTAGAGCAAGAAAGTACAGGTTAAATACTTACTTTGCATACCCATCGGTGGTTTGAGCTCGTTGAAATGAGGTTTGACATCAGCATTGGGACTAATGTACGGTGGCATACTGCTCGCTGGCGTCAAAGGCGGCGTTGGATTACCAGGTACAGGACTGTGTTGGTAATTGTTAGTTCGCATTGCTACCTCTTGTGCGAATTGACCACTATACTGCCCTGCATACTGTGCTGAATTAGCTTGATGTTGAGGGAAATGGTTCGGGACAGCACCGTTAAAGTACTGCCCTTGATTGGAATAAGGCGGCGTTGATTGTCTGATGTTCCCTCTCATCGTCGGGCCGAAGTTCCCACTTGGTCCCAGAGGTTGTTGCGGAGGGTATTGGCCTTGGAAGCCAGGTCGACCGCCATATCCAGACGGGTATTGCCCGGGTCCGAAACCCGGTTGTCCACCAATGTACTGACTCTTTCGCGATCCCATCAGCATGGTACCCGTCGGATAAGGCGTGTGTCGCCTTTGGTAGCCGGGTCCCATCTTGGTCGACCCTCCCATTTGGGCGGGGCCCATTTGAGACGGCATCATGTTAGCATGCATGCCCATATTGGCCATCTGGGCCATTGGATTCATACCGTTCATGGAGGCATTACCCATCTGGCCCATTCCAGTCATGCCGGTCATGCCATTCATGCCGTTCATTCCATTCATTCCCCCGTTATTTCCCATGCCCATTCCTGTCATGGCGGGGTTATGGCTTCGTTGCTGACCGTAGCCATTCATCGCACTGTATTGGGGATTACCCATAGCCATATTGCTTTGCATCTGAAACATAAAATGATAAATATATTTAAAATTTCTAAACTATATAATATTGAATTTTGGAAGATTGTATGGGGTTTTCCTGTGTTCTAATCAGTACGCGTTAGTACTCTAAGCAGTTACTAAGCGGACGTAAGCGCTGCTATCTAATACTTTTGGCAAGCTTGGTGAGTTTTGCACTTACATCTATGACTAATTACAACAATTTGTAATTACTGTGACGTGTAGATCACTACTGACAATATGACTTTTAAAAATAACGCTTCAACTTTGGAGCAATGGCAAGTGAAGCAATTATGATTAAGTGAGCCGATTAATCAAAATCTGCGAATTAAAAGCTTAGAATGTCGCTTGACCAACATTGCTAACCTACATTGATTAGAATTTGGAGCACGGTATTATAATACAATAGAGTTTACCTGCGAGAATGGCTGTGAATCCTGTATCGCGGCCGTGGTGGCCGCGGCGACCATCGCGGCGGTGGCGCCGAACTGCGCGTTCTCGCCCCCGCCGCTCATCGCGTTCGAACCGCCATGGCACCCATAACTGCTGGCAATTTATATCCAAATTAATTACTTATTAGTTTACGTAAACTTAAATAACACTTTATGGCTGGCAAAATAGAAGGATGTTTATAATGGAGATTGTCAATGTTAATGCAAATTCTATTTCTTAACAGATATTTCCAACCATTGTCAGGTTTTTTTTGAAGACGGACAGACGCAGGCTGATGCAGCAATGGGTAGGTATTCTCTCATAAAAATCGGGTGTCAGGTAGAAAATGTATGGTCACTGCCGAGCATAACAAAAACTCATAATACAACAGAAACTACTTGTTATTCAAATTACAACAAGATTAAAGAAATTTCTATTCAAAAAGTTGAAAGCGTCAATGTCTTTTTGTAAATCTTGTAATATTTAGTAGCAAAAAATTTATAATTTTCATTAGCTAAAATAAATCAGCGCAGTAAATTTCATTTCGCGCACGATGTAGCGACTATCGAGTAGTTTCTATTGCAAGTGGCCTTGCGAAGTCCAACATTTTACATTCCACACGTTAACACGTCCATTATTATTAATAAACACAGACTCAATATCAACCCAAATTCTACCGTCGCCGGCATTTTTAAACCTCTATGATTTTATTATATCATGAACAATGAGACAAAAAATCAATATGGACTATAACGCGTTGTTACCCCTGTGTTTCTCTCGGGATGTTTGATTTTTTGTATAGCGCTGGAGTGGGAGACAAACTCATGTGAACTGCTTTTGGGGCGAATTCCCGAGCCCTTTCTAATAACTTCCATTCGACAAAAGCTCAATAAACACTCGCACGGGCTACTTATTGTTGTTACTTGTCTGTATGTGTGCGTAACAGACATTTTAGCTTGTAAACGACTGATATGTTTAATATCTTTGACATCATTTTTATGTACGTCATATTATTTATGATTCCACGCAGACCATGCATCGATAAATAGATATTTAAATACTATCGCATTCCTGTCTTTGTTGATTAGATTTTGTAAAAATAACAAATTTTCAAAGAATTCACCAAATAATCACACCAGTCAACAACTCCTTAACGTAGTCCTTTCATCCACTGCAAATGTGATTTACAAGGACCCTTCCTTAGGTATCTAAATCGCTAGTCGTCTTTTATATCTTTTTGTAGTTGCCCTTTTTGTTGCCGACCATAATGTGTGCAACTAAAAAAACATATCCTGACGAACTTTTTGTTGAATTTGTATCACCACATCCGAATCACTTACGCTGCTTTCAAAATATTTGGGACTTTCAATGCAGGCGTCCAACGCGGTGATTCTTTTTGAGCGCTTCTTGGAATGAGCTTTACATGCATATGTTTTATTCGGCGTGCCGTTTTCCTTATCCTTCATAAGATATATTTAAATCGTAGCGTCCCAGTAGAATGGAAGCAATATAAATCAAAATGATTAAATCGCTATTTCGAGTAGCTGGAAGGTGTTTGGCATACTATTGAGAGATGTACGAGTAACGTAGATATTTTGATACATAGGCTGCAGTTAATTTTAGATTGTTGCGCAGACGTGGTGAATTCTTAGCTAATTGGCAGTGATGATAATCACGTGCGGAATTGATATCTCAAATGAAGTAATTTGAAATATATAACCAATTATTTACAAGGGAAATATGAAAATGTTTAATTTGGAAATAGTCCGTTCGATAATATGCATTTCAAGTGTTGCATTTTAGCCCTAATTCAAGCAACGCGACTTTTCAATGACAGTTGGTCTCCCCCATTTTAATCCTTCAAATTGTGGCTTGTGCGCTCATTGGTAAGGCATTAACATGTGATATGATAGTTTGTATCGATTATTCTGACGTAAACGTTACGTTCTGTCTATTCGTGAACCGTTAAATTATCACGACATTCTTCGGAGGTTTTTATTGAAAAATTAGAAGGAATTCTAAACTTAATATATAAAATTATAATCAAGTAAATATGTTTTATTTGTATACGGTTATAACGGTATTTATAAGCGTTATTAATTTTGATTTTATCTTATCCACGTCAATTGACGCCCGGAGCTGTGAGAGAATGAATCATGCTTCAAGGAGCGAATTCCGGGGGTTATAAATGGCGAGTGTTCTGGGGTGTATGGGACAATGAGTGGGAAGGGTCGGTTCAGTTAGGGCAAATAGGTTCACGTCAATGTGAGACGATAGCTATGATAAGTAATAAATGTGCTTTGTTTGCGACTTCGACTGTAGCAAAAATTTAAAAAATAGCATCGTAGCTATACTATAGTTCGTATTTTGTTTTTAGATGCTACGTTTTTACCTGCTGAATCAATTGTATTGGATGTTAACATCCGTTGTAAAATATTAAGCACGTGGTAGGATTCATGCAGTAGTGGCGGGTATCCGCCCCCAACCGACTCACCCGTTAAAAACTGACATGTTTTCCCACGATTCTAAGTGTTTTTATAATAATATTCTCGTGATAAGTAAATGCGATGTCTATTATCGCGTTTATATTTTGTTTTGCTCACGATGCACGGCTTCCTCTGTTCATTCAAGCCTCGAGCCCTACGTTTATTATTATTAACTTATTGGTTTTGTAATTTTAACAATGATATTTTGTTTGTATAGGGAACAAAACAAAGCAGTTGCGTGCCCCGACTTAGCACCTGCTTAGCTTTTGTAACGTTTAACCTTTAGTTTTAATAAAATATATTATAGTATCCTAAAATACCGTGTGAAAATGTTTTTATAGTTGCAATTAAATTAATTAGCCGAGCTGCTAAGCGACGATTTTAAAATTCTTGTCTAGTAATCCAGTGCGTTAATGTTTTGTTTATTTGTATTTATTGTAAGCTAAAGTGCAGTCACCGCTTGCATTCCCATCGCTCGCTTGTGTGCGTGTGGCGTCATTGTGTGGGTAATGTATAGTTGTGTGAGTGTGCAAGATGCTAGTGTGCGTTGACGAGCCCGAAAGCGTTATAGTGCGTGTGAATGGAAGAGCACATTTCGTTTCTTTCATTATAATGGCAATGATGCGCGCCGAGATTATTTTCAAAATTTAATAATAACTATTAGAGTTAATAATTTAAACGACATTAATTACAGATGATTTAAAGGTTACACAAAAACTTACGCCCTATGTCAGTGTTTATTTTGGTATTTTTAGCGTGTGTGATAACAGATAACGAGACGTTTTGCAAATAAATTTATTTCAAGATATCATAATTATTATGTACATATTTTTAATACGGATGAATTTTTTTAATAAATAGCAATTTTTAGTATTTCAGAGATAATATTTTTATTGACGTTTAAAAAATATATTTTATTATTTATTTAAACATAAAAATTATGCAACATATATATTTTAAATCTACCTTTTCTCGCATTATTTGCACTATATTTTTACAACTTACTACTTTTAATAAAACCGACCTGTCAACATGTTTAATTTTCAAGTACCTTATTTATTTTCACACTGTACTGACTAGAGACTTACCTTTGCGTATTGACTCTGTATCCTATGTTTTCTTGATAATAATTCTGTTTTCCAGTATCGGGAGCTGCGGCTCCCGAGTAGCTAATTTTGTGTCCTGTGTATGCAGCCGTATTAGCAGAATTCGCCGTCCTGCCGTTTCAAAACACCTCCTGAAACACGATGGAGCTCTATACAATCTCTTTTTTGTAAGCCAGATTTCTAGCACATTTTTCACGTTCGCAATTTCTGGCATTTATCAGCTCACGTTTACTGAATCCTTGTGCATTGCAATGTCAACAAATTACAGAACGTATGTGTGCAAGTTTCATAAAGTTTTGGATGTTTTTATATTGTTCACGATAATTTTTAATTAGACTATTTTATATACTTTTTTAATTTTTACTTTTTGATAAATTTCTTTAGAAAATTTGTGTTATGCCAGTACTTATAAAGCACGCAAGGAATTTGGACTTTTGTACAAAACTTGCACCGTTAAACGTATCCAAAATATTGTTGACTGCAACTTTAATTTAGTTTTATATCCTTTTTTGTTCTTAATTTGGTTATATTTTTTTTGTAATTTCCATTATGCGAAACACACCTTTTATGACATCCACTTTTGTTTAAATATTTCCACAGAGATCACAAATTTTTGCATCAATCCACGTTATGTCACTTGTAATCCTTCGGTTCACTGCACTGTTTTTAATTTTTATTTTGCCACTGCACAGGTGATTAAAAATCCAAATCCAAGGTAAGGTCAATATTTGTCACTGTGTTCCAGGTATGGTTGATAATAAATTAATATTATCATTCACTCACGAGTCCGACTGAGTTCTTCGTAACATTATAGACGTGTTGCACGAGCGTCGACGTCGACGTCACTGGCATCAGACAACCACACGTTCGACCGTCAAAGGTAACACTGGCTGGTAAACCGGCGACGGTGAGTGAGAGGTTACGCCGCGGGGGGAATCCACCCCGCGCGACGTTGCCGCTCCGCTGCGATAAAGTGGCGCACCACCTCGTCCCCCGCTTGTGTCGTCGTCTCGGCACTCTGCGCTCGGCCTAGCTCGGACGGCATCGTCGTCATGACGGTTTCATGCTCCACCCCGCGCACTCGACATTTCATTTCACGTAACGGTCCTCAATCGAGCGCGATACTGCGAGTGTGATAGTCGCAGTATAGTGTAGCACAAGTCATTAGTTATGTTAATGAATACATGATAGGCGGTTAAATTATGCACTATTAGTATTGTTTTCACTTACTCGTAAAACTTTTATTAAATACAACTAAATCTGAGCATGGCCAAATAAATGCTCACTGACATATTTTTTGTCCGATGCGAATCGTTATCGGCCCGCTCTCGGAATTCGGTGAGCGTCCGTCAACGCTGGGGCATAATAATTAACAGTGATAAACAATGGTCATGTCGCGTCGTCCTCTGGCCGCTACCTGCGCATGACGCTAGAGGACAAGTCATTCGTCCTGCGATGTCCTTGCTTCGATGTTGCATACATTTCGCACAA